TTGTGGGAGGTAAGCTGGCCACTCACACGAAAACATTTTCCACACTCCAGGCATTTATAGGGTTTCTCTCCAGTGTGGAGGGTTTTGTGATAAGTGAGTGAAGTACTTTGACTAAAGCTTTTTCCACACTCATGACATGTATACGGTTTCTCCGCAGTGTGGATCCTCTTGTGGATACCAAGGTAACTACTTTTCGAGAAACTCATGCCACACTCCGTGCACTTATAGGGTTTCTCCCCTGTGTGAATCCTTTTATGGATCGTCAGTGCTCCAGAATGACTGAAGCGTTTTCCACACTCCTGGCATTGATAAGGTTTTTCCCCAGTGTGAGTCCTGCTATGTATGATATACTTTTTCTTTTCACTGAAGCTCTTTCCACACGTGCGGCATTCGTATGGTTTCTCTCCAGTGTGGAACCTTTTGTGACAAGTGAGGGAACTCGAACTGATGAAGCATTTGTCACATTCGTTGCACTTATAAGGCTTTTCACCTGTGTGGGTCCTTTTATGCACAGTAAGACTATATGGATTACTGAAGCACTTCTTACATTCCAGGCATTTGTACGGTTTCTCCCCTGTGTGGGTTTGTTCATGGACATGAAGTCTATCAGAACGGGCAAAGCGCTTTCCACACTGCAGGCATTGAAAGGGCTTCTCTCCGGTGTGGATCCTCTTATGTAAGTTGAAAGAACTTTTTCGGGTGAAGCTCTTTCCACACACCTTACAATGATATGGCTTTTCCCCTGTATGGGTCCTATTATGGCAAGTGAGGTCACTTGCAGAGCAGAAGCTCTTTCCACATTCTAGGCATTTATACGATTTATTCCCAGTGGGGCTTTTTTCCTGGGAATTCAGTTCCTTGCTCCGAGTAAACCCCGTTCCACCCTCCATGCATTGATGCAACCTCTCCTCTCTGTGGAGGCTTTGATGGGAAGTAAGGGAGGCGCTGCTTCTGACGGTCTTTCCACAGGGGAAGCTTTGATGCTGCTTCTTCTCTTTGTGGACCCTCTTGTGTGAATTAAGATGGTTTTTCTGCCTGAAGGTCCTTCCACAATCCAGACATTTGTGTGGATCCTCTGCTTTGTGAATCTTTTCATGTGAAGCAAGAGAGCGGCTTGTACCGAAGGTTTCTGCACACTTTGTACATTTGTATGGTTTCCCGACTTCTTTTATTCTTTCATGTAAAGGAGGAGGAAGGCTCCTTCTGGGGTGTTGCCTGCTTCCATCTTGTTTCTCTCCAGCAGGGCTTTCGCCACAGTCACATAATCCAGATTCATTACAGAGTCTTTTTCCACACCTTGAACACACCTGTTTTTCATGGCAATCATCTGGGTCCAATAAGGCATTGATATCTGGACAAGGTAGACCAGAGCAATTCTCCAGCTCCCCCGTTAACTGGCTTAGCTCACAACTTGGCTTTCCATACATCTTTCCTACAACTTCCTTTTTGTCTTTTGGCAAAGGTGCTGCTGCCTCTTGGCCAGAATCCTCCATCTCCCATCCGTCACCTGCTTGCAACAGGAAAAGAAGAAAGAAAAGTTAACAGAAACTTAGGTGCAAAAGGGATCAAGCGCCATTGCTGTGTTCAAACATTATCAATATTCTTCCAAACTTCCATTTGTTCAAAACATGATGCTATGCTTGGTATTAAGTTGATCTAAAATTTGACCTTTGTCTCTCTCTTTATTCCTCAATGGCACAAAATGAAAACGTGAAAATATTGGCTAAGATCATTGAAAATTTATGCGGCGAGATTCATCAGCTATACTGCTTCAGATTTAGTTCAAGGGAAACAAAAGGGACCTGAAAATAGGCCTTCATTCATTCTTTCATTTAAATTTATCAGCTTCCATCTTGTCATAGGGAACCCCTTGATGCTTTATTACAGTACATTAAATGGATAAAAACTATATAAACAATAGTGTAAAAATACAGTCCTAACTAAAAGAGAATAGGCTTGATGATGGCGAACCTATTGGTGTAATTTCAATCTGAGAAGGTAGAAATGTTAAGGTTCTTGGACCTGAGAAATGAGCTTGAGTCTCATCTCCATGAAGAGGTTTTTCCTTGAAAAAAACTGGTTCTCACTCAAGCACCATTGAACTGTATGAAAGTTCCTCCAAACTTCCATTTGTTCAAAACATGCTTGGTATTAAGTTGATATAAGATTTGGCCTTTGGGACTCTCTTGGCCTCAATGGTACAGAATAAAAAGCTGAACATGTTGGATAAAATCATTTAAAATTGGGGGGAAGTGGAGGTTCTCAGTCCTACTGCTTCAGATTTAGTTCCAAGGAAGCAGACAGGATATTTTAAAGTGGTTTATGTTTTTTCATTCATTTGTTCCTTAAATTTATTGGCCTCTTAGCTTGCCATGGGAAAACCCGGAAGGATTACGATATTAAAACTATATAAAACCTATACACAATAACATAAAACATAAGACTACAAATACTGAATCCTAATTAAACATAATAGACTTGATGATGGAGAACCTATTGGTTTAATTTCAATTGAGAAGGTAGAAATGTTGAGGTCCTTGGACCTGGGAAATGAGCTTCAGCCTCATCTCCATGAAGAGATTTTTGCCTGAACAAAACCGGTTCTCACTCTGGGGTATTCATTCCTCCGTATCCCAAAGGGGCTTTTTCTTAAGGCAACTGGACTTTCTCTTTTCCTTGAACATGTTTTGCTTCTCATCCAAGAAGCTTCTTCAGTTCTGATTCTTTCCGACCAGATGACTGCAAGGAGTATAAATCCTTGTGTTAAACCCGTGGATTCTTATCGGGTTCTTCTCATCCAAGAAGCTTCTTCAGTTCTGATTGAACGGTGGAGGATGGAAGGATTGATATTCCTTGCAGTCATCTGGTCGTAAGCACTTCCCAACCAGATGACTGCAAGGAATATAAATCCTTGTGTGAATCCTGTGGATTATTATTGGGCTCTTAAGTGTCATATAGTCATTATAGACCAAAAAAACCCCAACAAAACGGAAGCAACTTCTAAAAAACAAGTGGGACAGGCAGGATGGGAAACAGGCTAGGATGGGAAACTTCACGGAAACAGTGTGGAGATGTAAGGCCATTTTATCAGACTAAGTAGGAGTAGAAATGTAGAGAAGGACACTCTTATCTGCTGCATACATCAAACAAATTAAATCTTTTATCGGAGTTGCTCACATCCACCCCTCTTTCAGACCGGGGGAAAAACCTATCAGGGAATTGCTCAGTAGGTATCCAAATGAAGTCAGAGGTGCTGACATAATCTTGATATAAATTAAGGTTACATACACTGTAAAGATATATTTACAGTCAAATGTCATCCAGCTGATCTGGAAAGTGCTCGGGAACTTCATTAGCACACACAGCTTTTTGCCTGTTGTTCGTAAATTATAGTAATTAAATCATTTTCAGAATTGCGCATACCAGCCACGACTGGCTCCAAAGGTCTCATTGTACTCCTCACCCGCTGCTCGCTTTAGTGTTTCAAAAACGCTCCGTGCCTTTCTCTGAATCAGATGAAGACTGACGGGACTTCTTTTTGGGATCTGATCCTCAATCCAAAGCACAAGGAGCTGTTGTTTTTCAAAGGAGGCCTGTCCTATTTCTCGTGATTATGGCATCGGTTTCTGGAGTTTAATTGCCTCTTTTATCTTTTCTTTACCCCTAAGGATCGTGCATATGGTGGAGCAGGCCACTTTTCCTCCTTCTTCTAAGGTCTTTAGCTTCTTCCCCTCTTCATGGGCTTTTATTATTTTTATTTTCAAGTCCAAATTGATACTTTGTTTCTTACCTCCATGTTGAGCCGGAGTAGAGCTTGGTTGCTTTCCTTGGGAAGACACTTCTAGCCTAAGAAAGAGTTGATGGAAAAGGACTGTAGAGAAAAAGAGAGAGGGGGGGGGGGGGGAGGGGGAGGGAGGGAGAGAGAGTTATGACCCGGGGCATTGGACGAAGACAACACAGTCAGATAATCAATGAGTCCCTTTATTAGCTCCAACTTTGCCCCAAATGTCCAGGTTACCTTCTGGCTGCAGAAAAACTCTTCCAGGAACAGCCTTTGATTACAACAAATCAAGTCCAAAGCATGGCCAACACAAATGATAATTTTAAGTCCATTCAAGCCAAAATGAGGTAATTAAGTTGGGCAGGGCAGGAGCAAGAATTCCAGATGTGAAGGCATGGCAAAACACATATGGTTGGGAAGACGCCAGGAACACAGATAAGCAAAGTCAACACAAGATAAAGTCATGCTTGCTCCCAGCAGGTGTCACAGTCAACATTCAGTTCTTTTAAACTTTCATTCCCAAGTGTGGCTAACCAAGGGAATCAGGAACCTTTCCTCCCCTGTAAGCCATGCAACCCATGTTGCTCTCTTCTCCGTTCTTCCCTGTGTGCCTTAGGATGAAGAGGTGGTGGGCCTGGGTCTCCCTCGGAACTCCCTCTCCCTTGTTCCATCTCTCCGCTGCTCTGCCCAGCAGGACTTTGCCCTTCCCCAGGCTCCTCCACAGCCAATGGAGCCACACTCCTACTCCCTGTCAGTTATTCGTCTACCTCCTCTCGGATTCAGACTCTAACAGGGGCCTGATAGAGAGAGGGGCTGGCTCAGAGCTGTTTAGTAAGATAAATGTTATGGTTCGGGGAGAAAGTATTGTAGGGCAATAATGCGTCTTTCTTCTCTGTCGACCATTTCTTTCCCTTGACAAAAGCGTAGCAATGGTCGCTGCACAGTATTTGACAATCTTTTATTTACAGTAGTGTATTAAACTGTGGTTTATGTACTCCATTTTTGTGTTTAACCTGTTCAACTTGGCTATTTCTTCCCTTCTGCACAGCATGTGCAAGATTGAACTTGATTCTTAACAAACAGGAGAGAATGAATAGTTGAAGGCCAATACTCTTTACTGTCCATTTGTGAAGAAAAGCCAGGCTTCATAGAAAAGGATGAAAACCTCACATAAATAGCTAGCAAATTTGAAAACCAGCACTTTAGAGAAGAATACAGCAACAAAAAAGGAATAATAATGCTGGAGCACATGCATTAATTTTAAAAAAAATTTTTTTGCACTACAGTAACAGAATCCCTTACCTAAGGAGGCCACGTTCCTCTTGTTTTCCAGCATGACCTCTTGGTATAAGGCTTTTTGCTCAGAATCCAGCAGGGCCCATTCCTCCACGGAGAAAAACACAGCTACATCCTCAAATGATACCAAATCCTGACACAGGGAGGGGAGATAAATACAACGTATTCCATGAATATTCCTAACAATGAACGCAAGTCTTCTTAATGAAAAACCTCCATAGCTTCCAAGTAGGACAAAGAGCATGTAGAATAGTGAATTTGGTAGCTGGAAGAGTAAAGTCTACAATAGGCCAGAACACAATTGTAACTGATTAGTTAGAGGGTGCTGACTCATGCAGGATGCAATCTATGCTACGATTGGTTGCTGAAAGTATAAAGGGGGCGTTTCTCTTTTTTCCCGCCTTTTTTCCCTCTCTGTGTTCTGCATGATGCTTCAGATTTACCTCAGGGTGTTTCTCTGTTTTCCTGACTATCTTACATTGTTCCTTTTCTGGATGGTGACAAAGACCGCTGTAAATTTGCATGTTAAATATATTTATATAAAGGAGTACAAGTCCAGGTGACGTGTCTCCAGCTTCATCTTGACAGCTGCTTGCAATTCCTTGACAGAACATCTTTTCTGGAGAACATTTAGAGAAACAAAGTGCCTCTGGCTAGAGATAACTCTAGTTAATTTTTTATTGGTTGGCCATTCCACAGGAACAGCAACCGCAAATTACTTTGCTTTACGTTGATGATCCAGACTAGTGATGGCTAACCTTTTCCACGTTGCATGCTGAAAGTGGGCGCGCATGGACCCATGATGCACGTATGCCCCTCATACCCCTGCGCATGCACACACAATCCTCTGCATGCCCTGCCCCCTGAACATGTGTGACAGATACAATCAGCTGGCTGGTGGGGGGCGCATGCACATGCACAGTGGGGCTCTTCCGGGCAACCTGTCACATGCCATCAGAAATGGCTATGTGTGCCACTTCCGGCAGGTGTGCCATATGTTCACCATCACGGAGCTAGATTTTGGGAAGTTGGCCAAACCCAACACCAATTATACCCACTGTAGTGACCAGATGAATCATGTCGAATCAAGGAAAGTGAGGTTCAACATTTAATTTCTGTGCAAAAGTCAACCATGGATTTTTCCTTTCACCTTGGGCTTGGTATTAGTACTGGATTATAAAATCTTAGTAAGGCCACACCTGTAATACTGCATTCACTTTTGGTCACCACATTACAAAAAAGATGTTCAGAGATTGGAAGAAGTGCAACTAAGATAATTAAAGGCTGGAGACTAAAACGGTTGAAGGAAATGGAAGAAGGACCAGAGGAGACATGATAGCAGTGATTCAATATTTGAGGGGCTGCCCCAAACAAGAAGGGCTCAACTTATTTTCCAAAGCCCCTGAAGGCAGGAAAAGAAACAATGGATGGAAACTAATCATGGAGTGTAGTAGCAATTGAGATCCTGTAGGTGATGCTAGCAGCACACTGCAGCGTCCTAGATCTATAGGGGCCTCTTGGCTCCTGGCATGCTCTCATTGCCTATATCTTGGTGAAGGTGGAAAGTCCCAGACTTTCTGCACTTATAGGTGACTTCATTATACTAACATCACCATTAGTCTTAAGGAGTGGTTGGGAGGTTGTACCAATGTGGTTGAGAGGTTTCACCCATGTGGGATCTATTCTCCAATCCAGATATTGTATCTATGTTGCCTTTGTCTTCTTATAAAAAACCTATAAATGTAATAAAAATTGTCCATGCAGTCAGACATCTCGGCACCCTGCACAATGACTGGTCTTTGAAATCCATCAGTGGAGAAAGACAACCTGGAATTAAGGAGAAACTTCATGACAGTGAGAACAATTAACTAATGG